CTACCCCCAAGGAATGCTTTTCACCTTCTTACGTCCTTTTCTTATGACTTCTAGCTCTTGCCATCCAACTCCTTGTCGACCTTTTCCTCATATCCTCCAACTCATTCTTGTCGCTTTGATGTTCCCAATTTGATTGAAGGAATCCAAAGAACGGCTCCTAACTTTGTCTTTATTGATTGCTGTTTCATCTTCTTGACTTGACTCTTTTATTCCTCATTTCATTGTACCTTTGACTTACACATCCTTTTTTTAAACTTTTATTTATTCCTCTTCTTTTTCAACTACAGGAATTGAAAAATAAAATTATTTCACAATCAGTTTTTCATGTTTCTCCAGACAGAATCTTTTCTCCAACTGCAAGTGATATCTTATCATTGAGATGTCCAGAGCAGAGAATTTTTGCTCGTGGAAATCTATACAAGTATAGGCATCCTCTAAGTACCTGTGTCACCGTATCTACTTGGACCACATCATATCCGTGATTTCATCGATATACACCGACTCAATATACGTCTGAGCGAAGCTATATTATATCCAACAAAATATCCAATGCTTCTATATCTCTCTTGCATTGCTCACTACTTCTCTCCCCTTCCTCTTTCTTCTACTTGTATGCTACTGTATATACCATTTTCTTCTTTCCTTATTTCCTTGATGGTGATTCCACAGACATACCATGTCCAAGAATAACTTCTTTGCTAGGTTGTTGCAGTCCAGGGTCTTGTAGAAACTCTAGTCCCTTGTATGCCAGAAAATCTATTACTCACAATACAATACATTCTTATCTGATTTTATTCTCCAAATTTTCAAACTTTTTTCTTACTACCAAGTTTTATTTATTTGCTTCGTTGAAATACTAAGTGAATATCATTTTCTAGAGATAGCATCTTTTAAATTCAATATTATTTTGATTATTGAACATTTTATTTTTTACTCCATCATTCATAAAAATGATACTAAAAGTCTCTTTTTAAGATGCTCTTTTAGAATTCAAATGGCATTTTAGAATTATTATTGAAATTATTTTTTATATAATAATAAATAATAGAAAAAAATAAAATAGAGCTTAGCCAAAAGCAAAAGAAGAAAGCAAAATAGGGTGATAGATACAATCGTATTACTAATGATTTTAGTTTACGCAACCCTCGGTCGTCATATCGGTCTGATAGCCGACGGAAATGTTGGTGAAATAACCCTCCTCACCCGCGTCATTCGTGGATATTGAAGAGAGAGGTCAGGGGTTTCATTTACTTGAACCTCCGATTATCGATGATTTTATTTAGTCCAAGTCCAAAAAAATAGGCTGGAAAATCTCGAAAATATGGTTATTACACTTGAGTTGCAGTAAAAAATGGGAAAAAAATTCAAGAGCTATTTTTATTCCTGAATGTAAGAATAAATTCACGAGAGATTTGATATTTTTTCTGAAAAAGTTAAAGGCATGAGGGAGTGATCAAAATCATAAAAAAAGTGGAGGAAACCGTTTGACAATGTCATTTTTGTCGATGTTTCGTTCCCGCGAGGCGCTGTAGGGTGTCTCCAGTAGCTAAATGTCGTCCATCCCTCCTTGATTGTCCTCCGCTACCCTCAATCTTCACCCTCTGGTCGCGTTCTCTTTTCCGACGGTAAATCCCTCGCGGCGCTCACTCAATCATACACTATTTTTGTTGCCGCGTCACTATACACTCGCAAAAAATACATCGACCGAGACCAAGAAGACAACCAGCCCCTGTTTTTTCCTTTGACCTCTACTGCAGTATACTCTCATTCCATCATAACCCATTCTTTCTTATTACGTTTTTCCTCCAATATTCCTCTTTTTTCCTGTCAATGTTTAATTGAGAAATTGTGACATTTGCAATCTGCCAATTTTTCTTTGTTACAGAATTACTTCTGTTTTATTCTTTATTAAATACAATATTTAAAATCAACGTCTTAATTGTTAATTAATTATCTTCCTTTGTATATATAAAAGTTTAGGTTTTTAATTTTTTCCAATACCTGAAGACCATGTTTAATTGCTAGATTTATGGTCTAGTCAATACAGTTCAGTAATTAACATTCACTCACACTTCTTTATCATCAATGAAAGCTATGGAGTCATCAATTGATAAATATTTAATAATTTCACATCTTCACTCTTTTCAAAGTGTATTAATCACACTAATGATTTCTTTATAATTAAAAATGTTTCAATTTAAATGTAGTTTTATTTAAAGATAATGATCACTTTCACTGGAAAATTATGAAGATAATTTTTCAAATAAACTTGACAAGTGGATTGAGAGAGAGCTTGCTTAAATTGATATCATTAAGCTATTTTTCATTTTAAATATTAGATGTACTTAATGCAGGTTGGAACATGACAAAAACCCGGGAAATACTAGTTAGCAAGTAGATTCTTAAGTAACTATTTTTTCTAATTAACATAAAATGAAGAATTTCCTGGTAGGAATAGAGACCATCATACTCCTAGTCAATTCTTGGCTCAATATTGGACCAGCAGAGCCAGACTTTAGTCATGCTGAACTAAGGCTGGACCAACCTTTGATCCTACTAAGATTGGAGCATGAATTCTCATAAGAAATGTTTCGAAGAAAACACATCAAATATTTTTCATAAATGGAAGAAGTGAAGAACTGACAAATTGTCATCCACTTTCTTAAACTGAATCAGTAAAAAACAATTGCGAATCAGTGACCATTAACTTACTTCCAGTGTCCATCCAGCCACTGATTCACTCAATCAGTCGACAACCAGTTAATAATCACTGATTCAGTTGGAGAAAAGAAACTTGAAGTTAAAAATATAAATTCTTGGAGTAAAAATGTATCGATTTTTTTTCTTGCAATTATTTGAAGTCATTGATGAATTTAGGACGAAATAATAAACTATGATCTACGATGTGCTAAAACAGAGCATCTCGACTCAATTTTAAATAGATGATTTAATCATTTATTTTATTGACAAATTTATTTTTCTGATAGGTTGAATTTCCTCGCACAACTGAGGATGAAATCACGCTTGGGTAATAAATATCGCGAGAAATCTAGAGTGAGACTTTGGACGTAAGGATGAGAAGAAGGGTATAGTGGAGAACGAGAAGATGAAAAGAGAGAAGGAAAAATATTATTTATACTCCAGCTAGAGGGTTGGTAGAAAGGCGTGCCATGCATAGACAGTACCTCATTCCATTGGACTAGACGAATGGCTCATTTCTGTCCGCAAATATGGGAATACCAGTAAGCTATTTCTTAATATTCGTGCGATATCGGCTCTCTGGTATATACCGGCAAGAAAAGAAAAAAAAGAAGAATAACCGCTTCGTTTCCATAGAAACCACAGCCTTCAGTTTTTTTCCTGTACTCTCAAGTCTCCATAGGGACACACTTCCGTGGTGCTTTGCTATTCCCAATGTGGTCGAATGTAACTAAAAGTTCATTGGACAAGAATAAACTTTCTCATGTCTTTTGTCGTCGTTTTTCTAAAATAGTCCTCCAATAAATACCAACATTTTTATTTTCGCAATGAATATATATACATAACTCAATCGAAATGATTCCTATATCCTGGAAACATTCAATCAAAAGCATTTCGAAGAGTAGAGCTTTCATAACTGGCATATGCACTTTTTTTAAGTTTGATCCAATACTTGATATTCCTGGCAGCATCTCTCAGCATTCCGTTGGTGTGCGAGCACGCGCTTGACACTGTGAAGAAGCACCTTACGTTTTTTTTCTTTTCTATCTCCTTTCTTACCCCTTGATATTATTATACCTCACGCCCAAGTTCTTTTCTACATTTCAGAAAAACGAATTCTTTATATTCACTGGGGAGTGATCTAATATAACTTATAACAAATTCCCTTATATCCTCACCCTAAGCTATAGGTTCGGTTGGTCGCGCATTTAAATCCTCGAATTCGATGGTGTTACATATATAGGAATCGTATAAAACCACTATACGATCACCAAGGGATCAATTTTTTCCCACGCACAATTTACAGTTTCACATTTTTATTCCCATCGCGAGGTGAGATCTATTGTGAGGGACACATACACACGGGTGAAAGGAAGTAAAATAAACTCGTTTGACCTAGCTACAATTGTATGATATTCATTGATGTTGATGTACTTGGTAGAAAAAGAGAATAATATAAATAATAAATTCAAGTGAATGTTGAAAGATAATAAATAAAAAGACTGAATGATAATTTAAATGATGACCTTGAGAACCCCTGGGTTCCGGTTTATTAATTTCATAAAAAATCCATGCGAACGCCACGATCGTCGTCTCTTTCAGCGAGTTAATTAGTTGGCCATGCTCTCCTCAGTTACCTCTCTGGTATATAATCCACCTGGTTAGTAAGGACCACCGTGGGTTCCTCCTCCCGCATGTGGCTATACTTTGTAACCGCGAAGACTAACAACAAGCTTGGTAATCCCGCAAGCAGAATGAGCCTCCGAAGTCGCCGTGGTCTCGTGCCCAAAGACTTTCTGCGCAGGGGTTATCGAGAGAGCATCTAAGATCTTCATGATGCTTCCTGGTGATGTCAAACGATATTTTTGTGGTCGGTTATTTGCCTGATGGATTTACTATTTTATAATAATGAGTTTAGCTTTTAATACAATCTTGTAATTATGTTGTAAGGGAAAGTCTTTTAGCATTTTTTTTTTTCAATTATTTTTATTGTTTTCCATAAACTTTATATTCCAGCTAATTGTAAGATTGTGAGTTATTATTGTTTATTTAGAATATGAATTACCAATTACTATTTTTTATGGCTTGTAATGTTTGAAATTAAATTAATTTAGAAATAAATCGAGATGTTTGGATTTTAATATTGATATTAAAACCTGTTTAAAGGAAGAATTCTCTTGAACAACATTTATCTCATGGTTTTGAAACTCTATAAACTCCCATGAGACTGATTTTTCCATCACATTTTTTCTCTTTTGTCTTTTAGATAATTTTATGATGATTTTCTTTTTATTTTTCAGGAAATTACGAGCTGATTGTGGAAATGACGTAAAAAATATCGAGCAGTCTATGGAGGAAAAAAAAAAGAAAGAAAGAGGTCAAGCTTATAGCGGTGTGTCACGATTACTTATTATTATTCAACATCAATCCAATTTAATTCTAATTTTAAATCAATCTTTGAAGACGATGACTTTACTGAAGAACGTAACACACCGTGAGAAAATAGTTTCCAAAGTGAAATCTAATCTACAAAGAAGGTCTTTTGAAACGCAAATGTAAGTAGTTTGTTGAATTAGATTTAGTATATGCGTGATGTTTTTTTTCTTAGACTTTGTAAATTGAAGTTGATGATGCAATAAAAAGAAGTTACTTACCTCTCCCATCATCTCCATCCCGCCACACATCCCTATCGAGTCTGATAAATTAGCGAGAACTCTCGATAACCGGATTAACGACGTTCGTCATGGAACGTGGGGGGTATAACCTAGACTAGAGAAAAGAAAAACGAGCCCATGCGGGAAAGAGAAAGATCAGGAAACAGAAAGAGAAATGAAAAAAGCAGCAGTAGTTTATGCTGTGGTCACGCAACTGTTCCGGGCATTGACTTGCTATCGACAGGGATTTACAATGCACTAATGCTGTGATGACGGAATACAACTATAGTAAACATCAGAATTCATTCACGCTCAAGGGTATCTAAAAAGTTGAACGAGAATGCGTCAATTTTGCTTTTTCCTGCTATTTCAATAACAATAAAATGTTTATTTTGATATGGGTATCTTGCATTCAATGCACTTGGTGTTACTACCATTTACAAGAACATGAAATTTGAATTTTTATTACATTTAAAATACCCACTGAATAATTTGTTCCTTGAAATCCTTCATAAATTTTTGGTTTTTCAACATCAATGCTCCAAAAGAGTCGATGTATTTTGAATAAAATTCAATGATCGTCTTTTTTTTGTTTATCGTTGGAGATAAAAATTGCTATAAAATTATGTAATTATGTATTATATGAGCTTTGTTTGTTTCCAAGTCAATTGAGTTACTAGAAGTATTATACAGTATAGTTGTAATAAAATTATTGAAAGGCATAAAATACCCTTGATGTCTTCTAATACCATGAAATAATATTATCTCAATTGCAATAGCATAAAGTTGAGATCCTATTAACCATAAAAATTTCAAATAACATCTTATATTCTTTTATTTTCTTTATTCTCGATCAATTTTATTTAAATAAATATCAATAAAAAGATAAAATAAAACAAAATAATCTTCTTGCTAATCAAAGCCAATTATAAAAGATCAAGACATGAAGTATCTCCAATAAATCAAGTGTAAACATTGACCTCAGTTAATAATAGTTGTAATTTACTAAAAAATAAATAATGATTTTTTGTTTACATTTTATTTTAGTAATAAAAATTTGGATTTCATGTTCACTTAATTAACATTATTATTAGAGATTCATGTTGGAGAAAATGAGAGATTAATTTCTGGAAGATGTAGTTATCATAAAACTAAATGATTCATAGATGAGTGTAATGATAGAGGCTATGATTATCGATCTGATGAGTCGAATGCATAAAAAGAAGAAAAATAGCCAAGTTAAGAATAATATTGCATGTTGTTAGATTTCCACGTGTATCCCAGTTGATAGTGGCACAATTAATGTTCCCACGTGCGGCAAGCGTGCAGGTACCACTTATCGCAATTTGCCCCCTCGAACGTCTCGACCTCTAGTCTTCAGTCGAAATTACCACTTTTTGTGCATTTAATCCCTTGCCGGGGCATACATGAGTATCGCGAGTTACAGCCTCTTTTTCTCATCCATGCCGGCGATACGGTGATTAGCCAGAGTGAACGCCCCCATTCCGACCATGTTGAGACCAATTGAACCATATCGGGCTTAACGACCATGCAAATGCGTCAAAAACTCCAGAACTCTAATAAAAATAAGGTGGGTTACTTTTTAAGATAATTCCCTTTTATTCAAGCTTGAGAGTATAAAGAGTTGTACTGAAGAAGGATTAAAAACTGGTTGAAAAAATTCAAGATCAGCTTGCTCCAATGTGACTTGTATAAGCTGAAAGTCATTTAGGTATTCTTCTCAGGTTTCACCAGGAACACATGATACTGCCTGTAAACAGCATTACATTAGCACGACTGATCAAACACCTTTCAGAGCGTTGATGACATGGTGACGCACATTTTGCTTCCTTTGCGCATTTCCGTTTGTCCATGTTGGGAAATTCTGGCTATTAGTCTTCTTGACATACTGCAATTGGCCCTGTCGTGTTACTGATAGACGCCGGCTGCTTTAAGTAAACATCTCGTCAGCATGAATTTAAATTATTGATTAATTATACTTGGTCATGTCAAGATCACGTGACTCAGTTGGAGGTAATCAACAATTTTACGGAATAAAAGGGCTACGTTGATAGCTTTGGAGAAAGGGTGCACATGGATATAGATAGATAAGTTTAGTATCATTGATCAGTAGATATAATCGATGCTGGGTAATAAGACAAATAGTTTGGGCCACAGATCGCCGGTGGTCGAGGGCTAGAATGTCTCTAGTCATCATGATGCTGTGTCTTTTATTCCTAGTATTCAAGAAATCATGTATGCGTTGGATTTGGCCTGCATCGAATTGATTATGTAAACTGTTAACTATTTATTTCTATTGCTTTAGACTGGGCTTTATCTTTTTTTATGGATGAATATTTAAATGATCTAGAGAGTTAATTTTCAATCATTACAACAATAGATCTTGTTCTAAAAAATATTATTATATTAATGAGAGTCATTATTTTTTATTTATGTCTATGATGAAGGAATAGTTTCAGGGCTTGTTTGAGCATTGATTACTTTTCCTTTAATCAAAATATTTTTTTTTAATTAGAAAAGTATTATTGAAATGAATATGATATTTTTTTTGTTCATTTATATAAGTGATAGAAAAAAAGAATGAATCGAGGAAGCGTAAAATTTTTTAACTCAATTATAAATTATAATGATATGATTTCAAGGTCTTAGAAGAATTGGCAAGGGTATTTTTTAGATTGAATGACTTGATTTCGTCATAGCCACGCCCGAGCGCACGAGGATTGAAGACATTGTTACAGGTGTTATATATTTCTTTTTCTATCCTTTCGCTTTCATTATCGTGATTCTCTGGATTGTGAATGTGAAATTGCGATGTTCTGGGAAGTTGTTGGGTAAAGTTTCAAACAATTTGTTATCCTTAATAATAATTGAAGATGTATGTATGCGTACATATTTTTTTTTTCTGCAGAGAAATTACAGAAATAGTTGCATGTATATTATATGTACAAATCTAAATATTTATTTATATAAATTAGCACGTGATTTCCATGAATGGTATAAAAAGAAATTGAATTAATAAGAAATCAAAATGAGAAAGTAACTTGACGTAGAAGTTCAATTGCCATGTGGGTTAATTAATCAAACTAATTCTATTTAATTTCTATCGTTTAATTTCTTTTGAATATTATTGAGGGAAGTAAGGTAATGCAGCTTTATCAAATAGTTAGAGGTAACTGGGATGAGATAGCTTTTTTTTAATTTTACTAATTTAAATTAGTAAAATATAATTATTAATATTTTTTCATTTATTAATTATTGATATTTTATTATTCATTGATTATCACTCACATAATTCAGTTGTTATTATAATTTATTATAAAATTATAATTTATATTTAATTTTATAATCAGAAAAATGTTTCATCTTCATCCAAATTCTTTAAAAAGGTTTGAATATTATTATAAATATTTTTAGGAGGATTTTTATTTAAGTAAGTTATCATACTTCATTTTTTCCATACTTAAATTAAAAAGTTTCATGTAGATCGTTAGTTTTTATTTCAAAAGGTTCATCTTGAACTAAGTAAAGGGTCTGTTTGGCTCTAAATGCCCTGGTATAAATTCTGTTATTTTTTTTGGTCTCATTATTCCAAGCTTTAAATAAATCAAACGCATAAATAGATACAAAAATATTTTGGTCAATAAAAAATAGTGGAAAATCGATTTACTATTGAGATGCACTTATAATTTACTCTAAAAAATGGTTTAGGAAATGATTCGAAATATTAGGATAGCATTCAAATAGCATGATCATTCTCCCATTTTTCATTAAGCTTATTCTGAAATTTAATAAAGTCTTTGTCTAAGTAAATTTTTAATACTAAAATTCAAATTACAGAGAGATGTAATAAAGCAGATGTTTAAAATTACAGTAGAATATTCGAGAATGAAGAAATTTGAAATACAAAAAATTAATGGCCATGCTAATAAGTAGTTATAATATTTTTATGATTTAATTCTATCGTATCTTCGTTAGCTTAAACGTCTCAAAAGGTGATTCGCGATCACGACCTCCAAGAATGCTTTTATTTGAAGATAATAACAAGAAGTGGCGTAAAAATGTTGGAAGATTAAAGCAGTATGTAATTTATATCTAAGAAAAATGGATAATGAATAAATGGATCTTGGATTATATTCTAGCAAATTGATAGCAGAATTATTGATAATAATAATAGGAGACAAGTGAAGTATAATACTAGAGGAAGAAGGGATAAATTCGTGTTGAGGAAAAAGACATGTGATACTGAAAAAGTTCTAAGAGAAGAAATTAAGGATAAGAAGAGGGTGAATAGAAAGAGAGGTCAAATGCTCGTCTAGTCGTTGAAGCGTGGGTTAAGATAAACCCTTTATCCATTTCTTGCTGAATGATTCTTTTCGCTTTCAAAGTGATGAAGAAAAATTTATGGTCTAATGAAGAAATTTTATTTTATTATCTATTTACGATAACTATCTCGAGTATTTTATTCTGTTAATTACTTATTTTACTTCCTTTAAGCTCTTGTTTTATTATTCTTCTTTAATAATAATATTTTAGATTAAGATTAAAAAAGGAAATGATTAAATATTAATAACAATCATTTTAACGTGTTTTTAAATGTTTAAATGGGAAATGTTTTTTTTTAATTTAAATAATTTAGACATTTCTTTGCAGAATTAAAATAATGATACAGCTTTAATAATCCCTCTCAATAATTTAAAGCTTATTTAATTCACTCGCAAAGTCATTTCTAGATGTAGATTTACCAGTGATATGTATATCACTATTGAAAGAATAATCGGCAAAGTTTTCACTCGGGAAATTTCTCTGATTCGGATTTAAATAATAATTTTACGATATAATGATCCGCATTTGAAGTAGACTCATCAAAATTTATCGCGCGTAAAGTTAGTGGTGAATGTGTTAATCAAAACCAAGAAATTAACATTTGACAAGAGTGAGTATTTGAAATTCTTTGCAAATAAATGAAAGAGAAGGATTATAAAAGTAGAGAAGTGAGTGAAATAGATGGATTATCGTGTTGTGGATATTTACATTATACATAGTAATAGTCTTACAATTGGTCTTTAATTTCACGCTCATGGATGTATGTACAAGGCGGATGTACGATCATCTATTTTTCATCCTTCTTTATTTTTATGCGTGTGTTTAATAGTATGCACTATTTTTCTAGTATTTACTCCTTTGTCTATTCATTACACAGTTTAGAAGTTTTTGTAATTTCATTTACAATGGATAGTTTAGGAAAATTCTGTTAGTTTCTAAAAGGATAGAAAAAGTATGATTACTAATCTGAAAAGTATAATTTCAATGTCGTTTCTTATTTTAGAATATTAAAAGCTTATTGACATAATTTTCAATAAAATCTATGCATACATATATACATTATGAGCATATTTATATGTCTGACAAGCTATGTTCTTTTAAACTCAATCAGTGAACAGTGTGTTTTTCATCCTAGCTAAAAAGGGGCTTCTTTTACCACTGGTGGGAGATATTAATTATAATAATAAATCAGTATGATAGAGCTTGACACCGATTTAGTTAGGAATACAATGTTAATTGACTCTCTATGTACTAGAATTTCAGTGAACTATTGTTTAAGTGATAGGATTGATGCTGAGAGTTATTTAATATTCACTGATTCCATTCCAGAAAGTCGATCAATTTTCTTTGTTTTGCATTTAAAACAAAATAATTAATTTTACTAATACTAATTAAAAATGATTAATAATAACTATCAAGATATTGTTTAAATAAAATTTAGGATCATATTTATTTACGACTTGTCTAACAGCTTTTAGAAGGAAAAAGATATTATTTTTCCAAGTTTAAGTTCAAGTTTAATTAGAAATAAAAATCTCATTAAATCAGGAGAAACTTAAATATTAAAAGAAAAAATAAGAATATTGAATCAACATTCTTACTCTAATTTTCTCAATAATAATTTTTTACTGCTTTCATAAAAGAAAAATTGAAATAATTAAATTGTAGAATATACATAGCTTATACACATGATGATAATATAATTAATTACTTTCGAATCGTTTTTAAAATTTCAAGTTAATTTTATGCCACACATAGTATTTAATATTGTTGTGGTTTTGTTGAAAAAATTTTTTATGTAAGTTGTATTATTTAATTCAATTAATAGAGAAAAGAAAAAAATAATTCAATGTCGACAACTTGAAACAAATGACGTGAAAACAATAATTTAGAAGGAATAAAATGCACGAAGAACTGGTGAGAAATATATATCAGATCGTTATTACAGATGGTACAAAGTCTCGTAATTTTCACGTTGTTTTATTTGAAAAAGTAAAAGAATAGGATGTTTGGCTACGGAAACAGTGGTATGATAGCGCGTTTAACTCCTCACCCCTTAGGATGTTGGTAGAAAGCTGAAAGCGGAGGTTGTATAACCCCTTCCTACTACATACATTCCAGTGCTTTTCGCTTGGAAAGATATTACAAATGGGATTGTCGGCGTGCTTTCGAGGTTCGTTTAAGAAATGATGTGTTTGTTAGCCATCAAAGTATAGACCGGAGAATCTAGAGGATGAGTTTCAGGGAGAACGTTAACCCGTTCTCCAGCTATCATGTCTGGCACAAAAACATTGAGATGTGCGACTAAAATGTGAACTGATTCATAATCCTGTCAGAATTTCAGTTACTGAAACTCTACAAATGATTTATCGCTAGACTATACACAAACATGTGTGGGAATTTGTTCAATAAATACTAGCTAATACACAAATGGCATGTAATTGCACAATAAAAATTCATCATTCATCAGCTCTAACATAATTATCATAATGCACCAACATTAGTGCATTTATTGAATCGAATAATTTTCTAATAGATTCCAATAAGTTCTAAATTAGTCATTTATGTTAATGAAAATTAACTCACAGCTTATGAGGTCAATGTATACTCTTCCAAGACATCACTATTTGTCATCATTGATATGACATAAATATGTATCACTACGTTCAGGAAAATAATCCAAGATAGCTCGAGGTAAATGCCTTGGGGAAGGTGAGGGAGTTATTAAACATTTTCTTTTGTTGTTGGATTTTTTTTAATACCTTAATCGCATTTTTATGTCATTGAAACTGTAATAGTCATCAATACATGGAAAAACAAGTACATACTTGTGAGCATCATTATCGATAAATATTCGACGATTGAATAATAATGACTCATTAACACTAGCATGAATTGTTATGCATTATGTCTCTGACTTGAATACATTGCAATAATCCTTGCGTCGTTTTATGGAGGCCGTTTTTTTACAAAAAATATTTTTATGCTATTAGACGCATTTGTATGCATCAAACGTCCTGCTAAGACACTTATAAGTGAGGCAGTAATGACACAGTCTCATGCAGCTGGCAATTTTCTTTGATTTTATTGTCATTGAATATTGATTTATTAGAGCTCGAAATACGTAAAGAAATTTTTATTCATTCAATTGCCATTTTATTGATGAAAAAAAAAACAAATTCCGCAAATTTTATTGTAAAAATTCTTTTTACGAGTGTTATAAAAAAAAATAATAATGATTTATTATGGGCTAATATATAATGAAACTATCGATAGAGACGCTTATCGATAACGATAATAAGAGTCGTCAGTTAGCAAACAGTCAGTTGAAATGTAAACAAAAAATTCGTTTATCAGAAGAAAATATGTATTAGCGTATAGCTCATGCTTATTGATTTTCTATTTTGTTTATTCAATTGCAAAGGAGGATAAATATAATAGATAACATATTCTTTGATTTTTTGCCTCAGAAAAGATAAAATTAACTGCGCGTTTAATTCAAGGTCTGAAAAAATCAAATTAATATTTTTTATTTTAGTTAATACTCAGCTTATGAATTCCCAAGTTGGATTAAGTTGGATCGAAGTTAGATTAATTGTATTACTATTTTAGGCATAAATTATAAAATTAAGGCTTCTATAATTGCGTGTTTGTTAAGCTCCTGTGAATGTTCATGAATAAAGGAGGTCTTCAAGTTGTCTCACATCTATTCAACAGCAAAGTGCAGACTCATACAGAAATATATACATATATATATTTCTATATACATATCTTTCCGTAGTCTTAAGAAATGGAAAAAGCCGTCTAATTATCATCATATTTAAGTTTGCGATAAATATCATATTTTCCATATGCACTTGCATATCTCTCAGCATTAATTAAGTGGAATTTATTGCAAGTTGTCATGCACGCACTTGTAGCTTCGTTGCAATTAGTGAAATTTTTGCATTAAGAAAAACGGGATCTCTTTAACGCTTTGCACGTCCGGTCTGTTTATCATTTGAATGTTTTTTCAATTTATTGTTTTCACATTATGTTACTTTGTAGCATCGTGTTAGAACACTTTTGAATAATTGGAAAACCACTTTTATTGGAGAAGAAGCATACGAGACTTCTTGATCATTCTTGCATTGTAAAGACCAAACAAGCTTAAGATGTTTAATTTTTTTTTATGTATTACTTTAAAGACAAAACAAATGATTCACAAAAAATCTAACCTCACATGGATCTTCAGGATACACGTGTTTTTTAGCTCCACATTCCAACAATTCTTTTTTTTCTCAAGTTTTAGAGAACTAAAAATAGGAAATAAAATTATTATCAAAAAAAAAAAAAAATCTGCCCTAGTTTGTAATTCATTACAATTTCTTAGTTTGTTTAGAATATGTTATAGAGACCTTATATGATTCTGGTTGCGTTAGGATTGCTTCCATTAAAATAATTTTCTTTAATAGCACAAAACGAGGATTAATAATGATGATTACTTTTACCCCACTTATTAAATTTATTCTTATTAACTTCATATTTGACCATAATTTATTATTTATGAAAAGATGTAAAAAAATGTATTGAAAGAAAAAAATTTTAAAAGGTCCTAACCACTAATTACATAAATAGAGCAATTGAGTGAGAAAAAATACTTGGAAAATAAATATTGCCATCATAACAAAACGTAATACTGTCGTGGCGAAACACTTGTAGCCAACTTCTGTTTAGTCAAATAAAACGGTTAAAATATGGCGTAGTATTACTCTCATCAGAATCCAGCTTGCCCTCTAAATTAAACATATCGCTTTCATCATGATACAAATGGTGGTATTAGCGATATATGTACTTGTAATGATACATTGTATGATTATGGAGGCAATATTTTTTCCCGTGTAAATAAAATACATGCACAATAATGATACTGATAATTGACAAAGAATTATTAATAAGTTGATTGATTTCAGGTTGATTCATGTTGTAAGAATGATTGGGAATGATAAGATACGAAATAGAATGGAGGGATTTAATCACGAGGTTATGGAATACAGATTGGACAATTTGAAGAAAACGGTTGGGCGATAACAAAATATGTAACAGGAGAAACAGGTATGAACGATAAATCAGTCGTATGGCATTCCTAAGATTGTACAGGGGCAGAAAGTCATTACAGTGGCAAAGTAATTCCCAACTAAGTAAAGCAATAAATACATAATGCATCTGTAGAATTTCCCACACGCGTTTATACGCGGCGTTGCAACTCTTCTGCCAGTTCCATGAAATCATGCATCAGGGTACGGCTCATGATGTTACGAGTCACGGATTTATTTGCACGGAATTGAAACGACTCTCGTTCGTGAAGAGTCATCCAAACTTTTTGCATCAACCTTTGCTTCGACGACAGACTTGCAAGACCTATCATTCCGTATATACCTTGAACGACTCTTAAAGTTGTTACTTGTGATGCTTGAAAATCATGTATAAAAGGAAATAAACAAAGAGAGTTAGATATTAAACGAACATAGGAAATGCTACTTTAGTATCGTCTGGAGATAGTTCCAGTCTAGAAAATTTATACATAAAATTGTTGCGTTTATTATATCTTTACAACATTGAACGCACGAGAAAATTCAATCTTTTCTATTGTGCGAAAGTGAGAAATTCCCACTCACATTCTTGACATTCGGACTTTGACGCGTGGCTATAGTTGACTTTTATTACTTCCTCTTTACAAACATTCTCTTACTTGTAATTAAAAATTATTTACATAAATTAATTAACGATTCATATTCATTTACAGATGTTAGACACTATTGCAAGCAGGCTAATGAATTTTAAAAAAATAAAAGCCACCGAGTAACTTGATAACATTACAAGGAAATCCACCAGACAATTGTTTATGAGCGACGTTTATGTACACATTAGAAACGTAGGAGAGTATCAAACAATTCTCAGTAAGTACACGAATGGGTGTTAACCTAACGGAGAATGACTTAACGGAGTCTTCAACGTACACTGGATCTTTTTGCTTTGCTCGACATGCGATTAGTCATGATCAGCAGTGATCGAATTAGATGAAGAAGTGTACAGTCAGGTGATTAAGATGAACAAGATGTTATGAGAAAGATGATATTACGTGTCAAGAAGTCATTAAAGCAATTCTCTATTAAAGGTCAGTCAATTGTTATCATTATTATTTTGTCTAGATTTTTATTTATTGCAAATGATAGATGTTGAGGATGTGTGGAAAAATAAGTCGAATTTTTTGCTAATTTCCGTCTTTTAAAATATGGATCTCGGCGAAGCAATATCGAGTTTGCATGGTAAGATCCTTGGAGTCCTTAATAAGCGGTTCGCTGTAGAACAATTCGATTAATTCGAGAGTGGCTTGGGCTTAGGGATCATCGAGTATCATATATAATCATAGTATTTTCTTGCATTGCTCGAACGTGACTACGTGGTCACTGCTATATAAGACTGCACTTCAGCAGTGAGAACTTAATATATATATTTTTTTTATTTTTCTCTCACTTGAGCACAAATTCATTGCTTTCTTCAACTACCATTCAATTCAATTCTATATATACTCCAGTAAAATAAAACTTCAAAAATATCATCTTGAAAAGCTTGGTACAATTAGAAGAATTTACTGTGACTCGTTTATAATAAAATTTTTTCATCAAGTTTCTTATAAAGAGAGAAAAACTGAAGACAAAATAGAATAAATAGAAATATTATTATATTATATTTTTGTACATGAGTTGTATATTCTTTTTTTCACAAACATGATATTGCATTTTATGTAATTTTTTTATAAGTTGTGTAAATGGATGCACAGTAATTTGAAATGTAAAAATAAAAATTCTTAGATAAAAATATACCGTGGTAGGAAAAAAAATCAACTGAATCATTGTTTACAAAATACAACAAATCTGTCTGCAATAAAAATGTTTCCATAATAGTCTAGAGAATATTATTTGCTTTAGGGCTCTTTAGATAATTACAATCGGCAAAATAATTTCATATTGCATTGAGAAAAATGTAATAGGATGCTTCTGCTGTGAATAAAGTCTACTGATTATTTATCAATATCTTTCAGGTAATTCGAATTGAACGAGCATGGATAATGGAAGATGATCCTGGCATGAAGCTAAGAGGCATATAATTTGAAGTTCTCCTGCACTTCAGGATGAAATGAAGTGAGATGACTATCAATGAACCAGATTTACAGAATGAAATTTCCTTGAAGAATATAATTGTTAAAAGAAAAGGTGATTATCAATTCAAATTCTAAATGCGTACTTTTTTTATTAGATAATAAAAACAATTCAGTATGCAAACAATACGTTTTAAAATTATTATTCATATGTGAGCTGTCATAAAATTTTTCCTTTGTAGTGTTAAAAAATAAGTACAAAAAAAAGTGGAAAGAAGGAAATTATTAATAAATTATTTCACAAGAATTCTCTAAAGAACGTGGTATTTTTAATTCTTGCATATTTTAGCATACTATATGAGCATTTGTGTGCAGTGTAAAAGATATGAGATAATTTTTTAGCCGTATTAATTTTTATTAATTATGACTAAAAATAAGTTGAAACAGAGTTATAATAATTAATTAAGTTATGTACAAGCAAATGCAAAACAAATATCTTAATTATTTAATTTTTAGCCTCAAGAATTTCTCATGGATTCTAACTAGGATATAGCACTTTATTTGTGATTCGTCGTTTTGGTGGTCGCACGTGAGGATGATGTTTTAAGGTGCGTGGACTCAGCAGGGGCTCGTATACAGTAATCTGAGTAGGTTCAGATCGCATCTGAGATGCCTAGAATTTGCTTTGACAAAGCCGACACGTCCTGGGTTGTTGGCTGGAGACTTCTGTAGCTTTCATCAGGTAAAAGATACTCCAGAATCAAGTTAAGGCATCCATAAGTGGGAAAGATTCACACACGTTTTATCTTGGTATATTATATGCATAATAATAGAAAAGAATAGTAAAGGTAGAAAAGAATGTAGATTAAGATGAATGTTCGTTTTAATTAGTTAATATGTGTGAGAGTTAATTAAAGATGTTAATGTGAACAAATTAGCGTCTAGTGTATAAGCATAAGATTGTTGAGTTGTTCGATTGCTAGTTATGATTAATAGGAAGTGCTTAAGTCACTTTTGCCGCTTCCTTGCAGTTTTGACGCAATGTTTCTTTTGCAGCTCAGCGATTTATTGCTCACAGTTTCACATTAATATTTCTCACCTAATTATATACCCGCCCGCGGGAGAGTCTACAACCTGACAGTGTTGTGTATATTGCAACGCTTATATGCAGAGTCACGCCAACTTTTTACACTAGATATTGATCACTCTGGAGCAATTATTTTTTACATTATGCTCATCATAATATATTGTAATACTTAATAAAATTATAAATGAATTTAATTGTTAATATATGTTTATCATTCGTTTCTATTAATTAAAGATTTAAAATTAAAAGTATAGAGGATTAAATTAATAATAAATTAGAAACTGTAATCATAAATCATAAGTTTTATCGTAATTTAACAAGTTCAAAGCTTAGCATAATTATTTCTTTAGTTTGTTATCTTATTCATCATTTGATCATAATAAATTATAAGTAGCATTATATACATGAAAGTATTTGAATTAGTTTCATTAATAAATTCTGTTAATTAAGAATGTGAAATTGGTGTATTTGTAAAAATGTTACTCAAGTTTGTACAAGATTAATTATGCTACTTATTTGTTAGTCATGGAAAGAGATTACTTTGTGCTAAAAAAAATGTGTTAAATTTATAGAGAATTGTTTAATATATACCGTGAGAGCCAAGAACGTAAAAATGAGGAATTAAATTATAAATTTATGAGGGTGTCGATTGTATTGGCAAGGTTGATAAATGATTACTATTGAGTTAGTGCAGGAACGATCGAGTAGACTGAAAAATTGTACTCGATGAGAACTGTAATTTCATTGATAATATTTAAATAGGGGCTTTTAATAGCTGTCTTCTCTTAGCTGGTATTAGCGTGAACCTTACGGCCCCCCACTCGGTTCATTCATAGCCGCTGTTGCTGCTACACACATATACAATTCACATGAGAAACAGGCGTACTGTTTATCCAGTGCCCTATTATTATTTTATCCAACTCTTTCATCGATCCTGCTAATCGAAGTCTGTACCGACGATAACTTTAAATCGCCAGCTGCATTTTTTTCATACACTTCCTTTTAGTTATTTTTTGTTACCAATAAATATACTTTTAATGTTACTGTTTGCTGTTTTCTACTGTTTATAACTTGGAAGTGAATATAATTTGTTAATTATTTACAGGTAATTCAATCATCGGAGGACATGTTCAGGATAATGAATTTAAATATCACCGTGGGAAATATTCTTCTGAAGATTTATTATTAAATATGGAATTTTTTATAAGATGGATTATACAATTTTATGCAATGTAATTGGATATGAAATTAAGTCAACGAAATTCCGACAAAAATTCGACGCCACAGGATATTTGAAATTTATATTTTACATCAGCGAGAATCGCGCTTACAAGCCATCGAGATACGTATTCGATGCATCAGTCATCTTTTTCTTCGAGTAAAGTTTATTCAGTCGCATAATTACTTCGCTGCATAAATACAGACATGTATTATTGCCATCAGGAAGAAATACAGGTGAGTTGCTTTTCATGTCTATATAATATATTAAGCAGAAAAATTAAATTTCATCTAACTGCTCATCATTTTTTTTCTACAGAATGCAGCAGGTATCATAATGCATCATTACAACGACCAAGCCCAAGGAATAATTCAAGAATATACTCATGATAAAGCAAAGCTCATCGCTAGTTCATTTTTATCATTGATTCATCGGACATGTTTTTAATCCTATATATCTTGAATCATTAGACGTAAAAAAATTAATGAGATATATTTCTTGGACAAGGTCATCAAGAGAAAGACCATCATGATTTATCGTTCGTAGTAACATGTAAGAACGTTTTGATAACGGTTTAAACATGTGGCAATTAAACATGACGACGACGTGAGTGAATAAGAAGAAGCTGAATAAAAGTTTTACATGAAAATGTCAATCTCATCATAACGGAAATAATTCAAAGAATATCTTTGAAGTGAAGATTTTTTCTGCATTAACAGAGAATATGCGAGAGTTGGTCATTGGTGTGTTAAGGAAAAGATCAAAGCGAATTCGATCGATTTCTCACTCGAAGTAGGTAATCATGCATCGCATTCTTGAGGTGCCTAGTGGATTTTCGGTTTCATTGTTCCTGGAGGTAGGAAGAGTGGAAAAAGAAATGGCCAGTAGGAGTAAGAGATGCGAATAAAGTAAGACACAAAGAAAGAAAAAGATAGATACGAGAATGAGGAGATTCAACATGGAGTTGATGGTTGGCTCGTCGTCGGATTCGTCCTTCCGTGCCGCTCTTGGAGGAAGCAAACGACACAAAAACTGGCGAGCATTGTCCCGGGACCTGCAGAGACAACCCGCGGACTGCGTGCATACCAACTGTATGCTGAGAGAGAGAAAGAGAAAGAGGCTTGCACACCACCTCAAAACCCTGCCGCGTGAGACACTGAGGACGAGCGAAAGGAGAGAGGTGGAGCGGTGGATTTGATTTTTAAATGCAAACAAATCTACATCGTGGCAAAAGCGCCGCCGCCTGTCACTCGTCGTCGTCAGGGACTACTTTCGATCCTTGGAACCTAAGGGATTTTTTCAATCATCGAAGGCCAACCGATTCTGCGTGGAGGATCCACTGCTTCATGTCTTTCTGGAGAGTAATCGTTTGCCGTGACTACCGCATGTCCTCCTACGTATTATTATTCCTGCGGTGAAATTATCCCAAGTCATTGTCCGAGTGATTCGTTGTGATCAACATGAGTTTCCTCTGTGGGATGTAATTGCTAAGATGCATCTTGTCTGCAGAGAACGTTGAGACGTTCATAAGTTATCAAAGTAAAGGAGAAGAGAGAAAATAAACCAGTAGACACAAGGGCAGGGAGAGACATAATTGCTGTGGATTAATGAGACGGCATAATTGCACGATGATCGCCGATCGTTTTATTAGACAACTTGAGAAAACAGAAAAGAAACAAAAGGAACTGGTCTTTTAGCAAAGACACCGCGTCGCATATTATTAAGCTTCAATGTTGAGTATGTTCGGCTGGTCAAAAATGACAATTACTCGGGTCGCCAGCTAAAGGACACCGCCACTAAACCTGAACGCCAACTGGAATGCAGCGTCATCGGTAGCGCTGTCTTCCATTGTGGGAGCCGAAATCTCTTATGACAACCGTTTCAGTCATGAAGATTGTGACCTACGATTTCTTCATTCCAACGTATGTTTTCTTCCTCTTCTTTCACTTCTCCACTTGCCTTATGTAATGTACTTACTAGTCATATTTTTTTTTTAGATGTCGTGCCTTACTTTTACATCTGCACAAGTGTCCATCACTAGATACCTTGGTAAAGACATGAGAATCTGGTCGCATACCAGCGCAATCTAGTGTCTTTTACTGCGACTAGTCAAGCTCGTCAGGGCTGTTGACTTCTTGGAGATGAGGACTAAAAACCAGAGCTCAGCAACAGGGACATTTAAATGATGTCGCCGGCTCAACTGTCGCAGTCTACCTTGAGAGAAGGCACACACCAACCACAGCAGCCACAACGACAGCAAGAATAACTCACAGGTCTGAAGAGCTCGCGGTTAGACGGCTAGACGGACTGATGGAAAGACGACGGACGGGGCTCAGTCACTGGTGACATCGTGGTGCTCTTTCTTTCCTCTCTTCATTCCTCTTATATTACTATCTTTCTCTAAATGCTCGCCCAGTTAGGTGGGTAAACACTCAGAAACAGAGATAGTAAAGTAACAAACTTAGCAAGATCGACTGAGATAGAGTGAGCACCAACTTGCCGCATTCAAGGGGTAAAGGGGAAAAGGATGCTAATCAGATGCCGACAACGCCGGCAAACATCAAAAGAGAAGTAGCGTCGCGGCTCGTCACCGCACGCGCGGCCGTGCCTTTATTTGAATGCGCTATCTTCGGCAACGACGCCAGGATACCGCTTTTTCGGGACTTTGTCGCTGCTCTTTAGAACCCTAAGGAATCTCTACCAATTTCAAATTGGCTTGCTTAGTTTTTTATTACATTAAGTCACCTAAATTTGACTAACAATGTTGTTGTAAATGTTACGCTTTTATGTTAATGTAAACGATATATATTCATGTGAAAAATATTCAACGAGAGAAACTGCAGATTTTTTACTAGTAAGAAAAACAATAGCAGATATATTATTAAAATATTTTTTTGAATTGATAAAATGATCTAAGTCAATTTCTACACAGTTAAGCAAATATTATACATAATCAAACAGACATAAAATCCATTGTAAAATTTCTAATTCAGTTATTACAATGGAATATAACACTAGATCTAATCTTGAGGTTTAAATAATAGTTTCACTTGATCCATAACACGAAAAACAGTTATTTTAAAATTTTAGATAAAACAATATTTTCAAATTATCTTACTCAAACTTATTCTATCTAATCTAATCTCTATATAATGTAATCATAGCATATGAGACCACTAGATGTGATTTTTTTTAAAGTGAATTCATGTAGTATAACGTAAATATTTAAATATAGATACATAGACTATAAAAATTGTACTAAAAAAATTAGTTTACATATTTAAGTCAAGAGTAAAATTCAATGTTAAGTAAATAGTTTAAATCTAGATAGCGCAGCGCCTTTGTGTAATCTTTGTCAATGAAATTACCGTTAGAGATTAAAAATCATCAACTGAAACCATTACAGAGCTCACAAATCTTCATGACAAATTGATAATGATGATAGAGAAGGAAAAGAAACTATTTAAAAACATTTTATGTTATATTAATCATAAATTCCTTAGCCAAATTTCTTTAAGTTATGATGAATGTGACAATGATTGACTCATTTTGGTAATTTATCATAGATTCAAAATGAACTAAATTTTTCTTCAAGTGGGGGCAAGTCATTTAAGAAGAAGAGTTGAGCATAAAGATGTTGTTTGAGGCGTCGGACACCTGTGCCAACGGAGTCTGCATATGTTACACAATCTCTTTTCTCCTGTTGGGCTTGGCTTATCCTGCAACGTACACGCACTGTTGTAACCATACTTATGTAGATATACATAAGGAACGTACCCTACATTAAGATGCAGCAGATGATAAGCTTGGCTTTACGATCTCGCGCTTCGACGATTCATAGCTTGGCAATACGAGTGTTCGTCCTCTCACAGCTTCTTTTTCTTTATCTTCTTCTCTTCTTCTTCGTTGGCTGATCTTTTTGTTCCTCCTCTCCTTCTTCTACTTCCAATACTCATAAGCCAATTCGAACTATGTAGGTATAGTCTTAGTGTAATGATTTATTCTACACTCATAATACGAGTTAAGGAATAATGCAGAGTCAATCATGTTAGCTGTGAGAATAAAGAAATACAAGGAGAGGAAGATGATCGAAGGCATCGTAATTCATAGGTTTATGGCATTGTTAGCGCATTGTTGTCGAATATCGTTGTGGTTGCATTGGATAAAGAGAAAGAGAGTAAGACAGAGTAGCATTGTGGTATATGTAGTAGTATCATGATACATCCTGTTGCATATTTCACCTCGAAAAAGCCTCCTGGCCGTGGTCCACAGTGAGTATACGCGAGGGTGTGTAAATCAAACCTTTGCTGACCAGCTTGTAAATCTTTTAGTAAGTACACACCGCTTGGATAATTTAAACAGCCGCCTTGGCTTTGAAGGTGGTTTTAGTTATCGATATGAGTCTATGTGAATTCAGTGCTTGAGTCTCACGTGAGAATATTAATACGTAATGTTTCTTTTGTTTTGTTATTTGATATTTTGTAACAAGCTACTCAACGCCTACTAAACATTTTTTATTATCTTGACAAATTGTAAATTTAATTACTATATCATTTTATTGTTATTTTGAATTTGTGAAGAATGTAAATAAATATATTAAATGTGAATATTGTGAGTACTTGAGATGAAGTAATAGGAGAAAAAAGATAGAGACTCAAGAGTTGGGAGAGACGACAGGTGGGCTAGATTCTTGATAAATGAAGTGAGAACTCACAACTACTTATCCATCAATAAATCAAATCTATCTGATCTTTCAAGTATTTTATATATTAGAAATTATGATTTCAATATTATTGCTTGAATGTTATTTACAGTAACAGGTTTAATCAGATTATTTATTTTAAAATTTTACTATCTATCAGCACACTATCTAATCAGCGATCAACACTATAAAATAATTTTAATTTATTAAGTATAATTATAAATTATTGATAGCTGGGGATAATATAAGTATATTGTAAAAATATTTTTCTATTTTTATTTAAATTATGTAGACAATTAATTTTACTGTGTATAATATTATATGACTTTGCATATCTAAATTACTTTGATTACTATCTTTATAATGTAGTTAAAGGCTTTGGCACGTATATTTGTTTGGAGGTACATTATTAATATGTGTTATTAAAAAATTGTTATATGAAATGCTAATAAAATTAATTTAAATACTAAAAAATAAAGAAAATTTTTACATAATATTGGAGTTATTTTACATATTTAATTAATAATTATCCGTCATTTTATTTTACTAAAATTGTTATGTTTTATTTATCAAATTTTGTAATTTATGAATATTAATTATCTATACAATATTTAAATATAAACGTATTTCCCGCAAAAGTTTTCGAAAAGTGATCACTAGAGAGCGCAAAGATTTTAGCGCATGTGCAAAGGTCACACAATTTCGGCGGGATCATGACGTCACAGTTACGGCGATTTGGGGCTTTCGGACGTGCGGGTGTAAGCCCCCTCTAAAGTTAATTAAAAATCGTTTAGTCATGTGATTAAAAGTCTCAAAAGTAATTATCATGTATTTTAAAGCCAATAGAATCAAAGACATTAGTTTTAGTAGTTTATTGTTTGGAAAAATGTTAATTTTCTTTATGGCGTCATCTAAAGCTTCACCCGGTCTAAGTAATGTTTTTGCTCCGAAACGAATAAATAACGGGATTTTCAGTATTAATTGTTTAAGTGTCGTGATTTTATAAATAAAAAGTGTAATATTTGTATAATTATTAATGTTCTATCTGTAATTGCGTCATTTTGAAAATGTGAGTATTCAATTCTTCGAAATTGGAGCGTCGGTTGAAGTGAAGAGTGGGGGTAATCTCTACTGACTATTTGTCTTTCGTAATTTTCTCGTGTTTTGTCTTGATTCCAAGCTTTGGAGTTCATTGTTTACGTATTTATTATTCTAATTCGCGGAAAAAGTGTTTCAAGTGTCAGTGGAAAGTATAATACACTTTTATGTATCAATTTTTTTTGCGGCGAATTTTAAATATGGTGAGAAAGTGTATTTATTATATCATCAACTATTATGCATTCATTGTGTAAAGTGTATGTTTCAAAGGAATGTTATGAAGGATTACCATTGAGGCTTAACGTGAACTAAAATCTAGAATTAACCATGAATAATTCATCTCCGGTAAGTTGATAAATTTCTCAATCAATAAATTTTTATCAATTTTTTTTTCAACGATGAATTTACGATTTCCCGAATTTAATATTAGATCCATGTTGATAAAATAATTAAAATCGAATCATAATCAATTCAAACTCTTCCTAGAATTAGGTAGCATTGTCAATGCAAGCATTCATAGTTTTAATGACATAAATTAATTATTACCTAAATTGAAAAAAAAATTCCAATTAAAAATGTAATTCCGAAATATTTCAATCATTTTTAATAATCTAATCAATTTTCCGTAGTAATAAGAATTATTTTTATTTTTTTATTCATTAATTTTATCTATATTCTTTCTCGTTGATTAAAACATCCGAGACTTTTGCAAAAAAATGAAAACATTGGTCGACATAATTTTTTTTGAAGTGATCATGTTTATACATTTTTATCTTGCTACCTAGTAGAATAAAAAGAAGATCTAGATTTTACACTTTCTGATAAACGGAAAAAAAATAAATAAATCTAAGTCACGGCGAGGAAAAAGTTTCAGTCTTATTTCACTCAATGATTTGAGCTTGTACTTTGTATATATCTATATTTAAAATGAAAATCATAAAGGTGAGTTATTCAAATAGTAATAATTCATCCTGGTATTTTTTTATTGCAATGATAGAAGAATTTAAAAGAGTTCCAAGAAATCGTGATATTATATTAATATTAGCTTCAATTCAAAGAATCTAAACGTGCTAAAATTATTTATGAAGTAACAAGCGGTGTATAAGGATGCCAAGTCACACGGTACGAGACTGTTTTGCATCTCAAGCGTGTCGCAAGCGCCACTAGCATCATCCGGTAGACTTCCCGCTGCGTGCGGATGTTACCTCTACAACACGTCCAATCCTCCTATCTGCGTATTATTTGCGAATGGCTCGAGTCGATCGGTATAGCCATCGTTTGACCTTCCTTGTGTATATAATAAAGATAGAGAATGCTTGCATTTTCAAGCATATAAAATCCCGTCACGCATGTATTTCATGCTTTTATTTATTGTTGCTTTTTCGATATGTCTGTTGAGACTTTCGTGCAATACACACTTGTGCATGCAGAGTTATGTCGTCTTTACACTCAAAGATCGTAAGGTCAAACCTTGCAGGATAAGACGCCCTTGCATACTGACCTATCAGTGTATTTTATAACTGCGTGTATTGACTTGCTGTTGAATTTTCAATCGTATTTTCTTTTTCTAAGAAGAAGATTTATAAAAATTCTTTTATTTACTTTAATACACACCCATAAACGAATGGATAAAAGAAATTGCTCTAGAGTACTGATTGCTACGAGTTACGATTTTTATTCGCACCGTTGAATTATCGCGAATTCGAGGGAATTGGCGAAAAGCCATAGTTTTATGTGATACAGCAGAGCAGGCTGAGAGAAAAGGCGGCAAGTTTAGACCCTGTATAACCAATTTCTCGAACCAAGACGCCACGTAATGACTTTTAGATCATTAGTTACTGAAACTACCAATACAATTATCGGTCTCTGAAAATTTATTCCTTTAATCTCAGCGTTTGTGCCTTTGTAAGATTGCCTACCGCTACCTCTACCAATTCAACCAGCTATTTAGTGGATACCTAGTGTTCTGTACATGTCTTTGTAAAGAAATATTACATTTTTTTCATTACTTACTGAATTATTTAAAATTATCCTTAGATCGTTAACAATTTTTTTACTTCCATTCTCAACATTAGATTAACTGAGTATTTATTTGTTGAGAAATCTACTAATTGACTGTTAGCATAGTTTGTAACAGTTTTGAAAAACATTTGAAAAATTACATACAGTTTTGCATTTTTATCATCGATTACAAATAGAAATATCCATCTTAGTGTTACAATAAATTCTCATTTGTATTTGGAAAAATTTTCAAATTGTCTTGTTTTGATACTCTTACAGCATTAAATCGGATTACTGCTGTGGAAGATTAGGAGTCATAAATTTCCTTCATTAACTAATCATTATCAATTCGTTTGATCTAGTTTGCTTGGTTTATGTTGCAATTCTCCCAACAATACCCATATTTTTTTCGATGCTTTCACTTGTATTATTTCATTAACAATTATTTATTCCTAGAACTCTAATTGTTCTTGAAGAATCTATGAATTTATTGAACACATTTGGTTCATTTTTTTATAACAATTGAGCTGTAATAAATTAAATTAAATATTGTTGAGGTTATTGAAAGGCTTTACAGCAAGTTTTCAATGAAATGATGATTTTTATTCGATTAAATAGTTGATAAATATTAATATTCTCTGATGAGAATAAGCTTGGCGAGTTTGTATTTAAGATTAAATAGTGGACTCAGCAGGGATGCGCAGTCGCATAAAATAGGGAGGACGAGGGGATGAAGAGCTTGCCAGGTAGCGTTTGCAGAGCGAAAGTCATTATATTTTCTCAGGGCGTCGCGTGGAGCTTAATCAAGGCAGCAGCCGAGTGGAATCAGCAAGGACTCTATTAGTATTACCCCTTAGGTTTGTTGCTGGCCGGCCAAGTCACACGGACTCAGAGTCATCGAGTCTTTCTACTCCCCCAACCCTCTTAAGACTCATTGTCCAACTTAATAACCGCAACTTTTAATTGAATTTGTGACCGGCACGAATTGACTTTCGCTTCGGTCCCGTTACTCCAGCTGTACCAAATGATTGGTGCTTCTTCTTTCATCGTCGCTGTTTTCTCTGCAACGATGACCGCTGCTTGCTGCACTCCTTCAGTATATATCTCCTTCAATACAACGGATTTTCTTGTGGTCAATTTCGTTCCACCGATTTATTATTTTACTTGACGAGATTCTTCCGAGTCTTTCACATGCTCAATTCTCCAAGTTTGACGATTCAAGTACTAAAGTTCAGAGAGAAAAGTTGCTCGATATGCTCCAAAGGTCGATGACCCAATGGAATGAGGTGCCGCGTGGACTTTTATACTACGGTCATCGATTTTCGTCCTAACCAAATAGTTGGTAAAGCTGCCATCAGATGACGCTAGAGTTTTATTGCAATTCTGAAATCTTTAGCAGTATAAAAGAATAATGGATATAGACGAAGAAAGTGCATTCAAGTAATAACTACTGAATAAATCATTTTAAATAATAGTTTGCATTCAGTTAAAGTGTTTAAATTTCCTCCTTCAATGATTCTCATTTATTTGTTTTCCGGTTAGTCATTGTTGGAAGCCATATAGAAGAAAAAGGCTTTGTGGGCAAACTTGAATGAAAACTATTTAGAATTACTCCAATTCAACAGTATACATCTACGGGTAATATCGTCACTGAAATTCCTGAAGAGTCCATGCGTGTCTTTACAACTTTACACAGTAGTAGTAGCGTGACACCATGACGTCACATCCTGGCTGACACGTGATGTGTACAAGCTACGTAGGTGGGCAAGACCCCACGGCGAGTCACGCTTTCTCTGATGTGTAAAGCGGTACGGCTGATGAACAGGTGCATCCAATTTCTCGATCATCTAATACTAGTTTTTCACATTCTGTCTAATAGTCAATCGTGTGTA